CAGGATCCTGCCCTGACAGACACCGCCCCACAGAGCGAGTCTCACTCCCAGCAGCAGGGCCCGGTGTTTGTCTGTCTCCCTGTCTGTCAGCAGTGTCCCTGCTATAGCAAAGCCCCTGGCACTATCCGGTAACTTCCCCCAGCATGTGCTCCAGACTGTCCCTGTATCACTGCAGCCCCGGGCTGCATTCTCACAGCGCCACAAGCTGCCCCGCCCTGCACTGAGGCTACTTCCTCCGGTGCCAGGAACCCACCTCTGGCTCCCCGCATCTGCGGCTCCCTCCCCACCAGACATGCCCAGGAGAGTCTCACGTCTCGAGACAGCTCCCCCTAGTGTCTGTATTTCCCAGCCGGGCCCAGGGCATGAGGCAGTAGGCGTGGCTGGAAGGTAGGAACCCTCTTAATTGCATGAAAATCACTGTGGCAATTTTTCGTCGCCTTTCTTCGAAGAGCAAATCAATCAACCACACTAGATAATTTTCTCATGCTTCAGAAGTGGTATCAGCAGTGCGCCTCATCCGACAGTCGGAAAGGTGTCAGTGAGTGTCTCTAATTCTTTTAAAGGAAAATGAGATGCAATGCCGTAGCAAGGAATTTTGTCGCCTAGGGCAAGATCAAACCTTAACTGCCTTTAATAATTAATATATCTATCAAAATAATTTGCAAATGCTTCTTTAAAATATTTCATTATCATATATGCAAATTTAAGGATCAAAGAACATTTTTTGAGTATTCGGGCTAACACGGCATATTGTCGTAAGGGCCGCAAAAATAAATTTGCCTGGGGCTGCCAATTGATTAGGACTGGCCCTGGTTATAGGATGGACTTAGGGGATCACAAGTGGAGGGCCATTGTTACGTCATGGTAAGCAGAGTAATTGGGATCCCACATCAGACACAGCCCTGTAAAACTAAGTTATGTGCATCAGCCTTACTGCCTTGGGCTTGGCCTGCAGCCAAGTCTCAAAAGTGAAAAACTGGCTCAAGTCTGGCACTGAAATGCAAGCCCCCACATTGATATCCCATTCCCTTTATTTTATAATTAAATGGTAAAAATGAGAAAAATCTGCCATTTTTCAGTCATCATGCACGGTGATACGTTTGTGTTTTTATGTCTGATTTTGCAAGCCAGAAGTTTTTACGTGAGGTCAAATCTGGGATACTCAAGACAAACCAGACTCCTGAAAAGGGGTACAGTCATCTGGAAAGGTTGGAAACCTCTGGCGTAGTGAACAGTAAGGCGCTGGTTATTTCTTTAACAGGTTTATGAGCCCTCTAATGCTGCTCACTGACTTCTAGAAGCTAGCCAGAGCAACAGTATGAATGCACTGCTGGGCCTTGCATGTTGGGAGTATTTACTAAATGCAGTTTGTTTGGACCCCTCCTTGCCTTGGTGGTCCTTCATGTGGACACCACGCATGCTTTAATTTATGGACCACCGCGTCCAAGGACCAGGTCAGCAGTGAAAAGACAGACGACAGCCAGCATCCCAAAGAGGGAGAGAAGGGGGTTACACACTTGAGGTTTTTCATAATTGTCCCATATGTTTTGATCTGACTGTGCTTTTTTTCATGGAGGTCTTTTGATGGCTTGGAACACTGTCAAGCACTTCCTTTATTATTCTTATTTTGGCTTATTCTTGGAATTCAGGGGGCAGTGTTTCAGGCGGTCTACAGGAAGCAGTGGTAGGAAACGTTTTTAACCCTTTGCTGTTAGGTGGAGGCAGGGCCGGGCGGAGGCATGGGCGAGCCGGGCAGCTGTTCAGGGCGCCAACCCACTGGGGGCGCCTGATGGCAGCTGTAAGGGGCAC